TGCAGTGTTTGGCATAGTCAGTGCAATAATGTTTCTCTGCATTTTGTGGATGTCATGGCCCTTGATGCTCTTCCAGCAAATGAGGAAGTTGTGAGTTGAGTCTACTCCACAATTAAAACCTGCAGTGACCTCGTGTCTGGACATGGAGCACTCAGGCTGCTTCTCGCACGCCATCATTTCTCTCTCCCATAATCATTATAGTCCATTCTATCTCAGGGTAATGTGACTGGATAAGGTCATTGGCATGTTTAAAAAGTAGTCAATCTGGCATATTGCAATGAAATATTTTTAAGATAACATGCTGACGTCAAAGCGAAATTACAAAAACAAGAGGCAGAAAACAAGTGAAGAAGGTTTTGCATATAATACTGTATTTAATGTCTACTGCTAGAATTATCAGCCACTTCCATTTTTTTCTTTTTAATTTCATTCAAATATTTGCTCTGTTTTAATGTTTATTGATCACATTCCCCATCTGTGAGCTTTTTTAATCACATCAATTAGTCTCCCTTGCCAGAGGTTTGTTTTGTATCTATCTTTCTCTCCACTGCATGCCACTGTTTAGAAAAATGAATGTCCAAATCATCCTCTCAAAGAAGGACAGTGCTTTCCTCTTCCATTCCCAAGCATCTCACATTGCTTTTTATTGCTTGAGCAGCTGCATCAGGGGAAACCGTTATGATTTGGCATGGGCAACATCCAGGCAGACACCCATTTTGGATAATTGCGCTGAAATGTGCTTATGTATGGGAGCCCGAGGCAACAAACTAACCACAAACATAATAACAGTTTTAGTTGAGTGATGGAAGAAGTTTTAGACGGAGAAGGCATGAGGCGGAAGGCGACGCAGAGGGAGGGAGATAAAGAGAGAAGCAAAGAGGAGTGCTGGAGGAGGTCCTTTTTGAATAAATGCTGACACTGTTTCATTGTAAATAAAGGCGACTTCCCACTGAAGAACACTTTACAGGGTCTGTGTTGCAATTCTAAAAGGCTCTTTAGAGAATTTTTCCAAGGCTTTTGTTGTATGCATGAGACTGGATAGTGTTATTAGCTTAGCTGTCTTTCCTCTTTTGTGCACATATTTCCCTTGGGCTCATGTGCACAAAAATGCACATCTTCAGCTTTAGAGACGATCTTCTGTTCTCATGAACATGCTGTCATATTTTCACTTTGTTTTTAAAGCACACACAGGAAAAATGTGCATTCTTGTCATGAAAATGGCAACATTTGGTCCACAACAGACTGACGTACAGTTCCATTTTAGTCTCTGTGTGTCTGCGTATATGTGCGTGTGTATGTTCATCCCCAAGTAGTTTGCTTTAATCTCCTTTAATTTCATTACCAATCTTCATGGAAATCAACTCACAGCCAACTCCTCATTTCTCCATCTCCCTTACTAATTAAGATCAGGAAATTGTTCCTGGGATTGCTTGGCATGAGGAAAATGTGCCTCATTCCCACAGTCACCTTCTCATTTTCTCTTTGTGCCCACTGTTTTTTCACTTTTGCATTTGCTAGTATGTGCAGAAGTCTGCTCATCTGCTTTTCTGTTCCTGTCTACATATGTGTTGGACCTTTCCGTTTTCATCTGCTGTGTGAATTTTTCTACAGTGTGACAGTATCTTGCTGTCTCCAACATCCTGTCTTTGTCTTTCAGTATCTGTCCATGTACATGTGGGTAGCCATGTGGTGGATTTAGAACTAAAGCTTTGGGTGATTACTCCCATAATGAACCATCATGCTCTGTTCAGGCTGCCACCTCCCTTAGGGATTCACCGTATTATGAAGTTATCATTCAGCCACAGCACTACTCTGTGTCCTCATATAACTCGCTTAACTGATTTAGCTGTGCACATGAAATAGAATGTTACATTAAATTAAACTGTGTTGTTAGGAATTCTGGAAGTCCTAATCGCTTTGTGAATGGTGTTTCAGTAACATTCGGGCTGCGTAAACAACATTATTCTTAAGCAAGTGAATGCCAATTTTAAATGGCTAATATTTTCTCTTAGTTATATCAGGTTTGTAGCTCATCTCAATTCCATACAAGTAAAGCGAGCCCTACAGTTTTGTTTTATTTTTTTTACATCATACCTAATATATAATTGTTGTCAATAAACATTAAAAAAATGATAATTCACTGTGGCCCAGGTATGAGCAGATCTCCATTTTCTTTCCCCAATGTGTGTTTTTAGTTGTTTTTGTTGCTGCTAAATGTGTTTAAAAAGTTGCTTAATCTGCCAAATAAGACACTAAGTAGGAAACAGCATCTCTGCAGGGGAAAACCAACAACAGTCTTTTCTGACGTGCATGGTTGTGTTTTCAGTGTGTGTCCACAGAGAGAATGGCTCACAGATGTAGACGCTCATCAGAGTGCTGTGCACTACCAGAAGAGACCATTTATATCCAAGACTATTTTCTTTTTTAAAGGAGGAAATAAACAGAGAATCATTATGTGTATGGTCACAAAAACAGATTTGGCTCTTATGCCATTCAAGCAGAGTCTGTTTGGTGAGAAGTTTTTTTGTTTATTTTTGTTCTTTGAAATTCTCTTGTTTAAACAGACTTTCAAACCAGGGTCTGCTACATGTAGAAATGTACCCTCCACTCATGGGGCATGCATGGAGGTATCACAGAAACAATTACTGAAACTTTAAACAACAGCAGCAGAGAGTACCAACCATGATCAACTCTGCAGCCTGTAGCTTTAAATCTAAATGAACATTACATTGTGTAATTTCAAAACATATTTAGAACCTGAAATGCATCTTTTATGGTGCCAGTTAACATTAAGTTTTCATCCTCAGTTGTTCTTCAATAGAGCACATATTGCTGTCATAGTCTATAGTGTTCATGGCATTACATTGTGGTTAGGCAACATGGCGCAAAACTCAGTGTTTGGAATCAGCTCACTGGAATGAACCAATAATCCCATGCTTTCCTTCAGCATAAATAACATACTGCGTTTAGGAAAGTCTGAATGAACACTGAACATCAGGCCGTGTAAACAATGGTTTGTTCTCTGGCTGTTGCACCTGCTCAAGTGGCCTTAGATTAGAAGAATGACTCAATGGATAAGATTAAATAAAAAAAAAGTGATGGCAGTGGTTTGGGATTCCTCACAATTTTTCCTTTGGTCAATCGACTCTAAAGTTTATTTTGTAAAAAAAAGAAAAAGCATGATTTATTATCACAAATGTTATCTAATCAAAATGATAAAATAACCATATGTGTCTTACTTTCATGAAGGCTGGATTCTTCCCTAAACTTTTATCACCCCAAAACTTTTATCACATTCATCCTGCCTGATCCTGCCAAGACTGTGATTTATACGCATGATAAAGGAAATGGGATGTTTGGTAGATTTCTTTTTTTTGGCAGAATTAAGGAAGATGAGAGAGTATTATAAAAGACAGACTAAACTGACAGACAACAACCCACAAAGTGGGGGCAAGGGTCACTGAAACACATTTAGAAATTTTCTGAAAATGATGTGCTTGAAACACCTCACTGATCAGAAACTTTTCAGATGACAGGCATGGTGTTCTTAAAAGTCCTGTTGCCTTCTGTTCAAGAGTTTCAACAGCAGGCAAAATTGGACAACTGGCAGTTTAAAAAGAAATAGAGACAATATGGTGGAAAAATAAATAAAAAAACACACTTTTATGTATAAGCCAAAATGGATTTACTCTTAAATCGAGGTCTTGTGCCAAAATCCACCTTTCTGCCTTTTATCTTCAGGTTCAGATTCCACTCTCTCCATTTGTGTTACAATTTACACAATCAAACCATAAACCCCATAATTCCAGCTGAGTTAATTCCAGCTCATAGTAAACAGAAAGCCTTTTCCCCCCACCACATGCTCCCATAACCATCAGAAAATCGTCACAGGATCAGTTCAGCCCCATAAATACAGTTGCATGCTAAACACAGTAACACTGCTGGCCATCTCAGATGACAGTTTGTGTTATTCTTTCCTCCTGAGGAAGACTAATTATTTTTACATGTGGAGTGCTCGGCTCCCACAGCCAGGATATTTGATCACAGTACATGATAAAAGACTTGGCTAAAAGGACGAGCTGAAAAAGAGTTCATCTGGGTTTCTGAACTGAACTGATTGAACTGAAATCAATCAAACTAGTACGATGCGAGGCTACAAAGATGGGATGTTTAAGTTACATTGTTAGAGCCTGGTTTGGGGGAGTGCAGAATTAGTTACAATACAATGAGATTTCAGATTTTACATTTAAGCGTTCAGTACTTATATGAACTACATAAATGGAGATGTGAGGAAAACTGCTTTAAAGACCAGCCTTTTGACATTATTTTTATGTCCTTGTTACATATGTTCTTTTGTTAATGTGTCATGAAGGTCTTATCACATAAACTGATTGAAGAAACAGCTGAGTTTTCTCTGAAATGTTCAGAAAGAAAAATAGCATTGCATTCCATGCGGTTTTATAATGCATGTCATTTATCACAGTATGTGAACTATTAATGTGAATAGTTTATTTTCTTTGGCCTGTTTGAACTCTGGCAAATCCATGCAAAACAAGGTAGAAAACGTCTGCACGGTGATGGAGAGACAGGTTTGAGAGCAGCATATGGTTATTGTGTTTGTGTGTGTGTGTGAAGGTTACTACATGATAATCAGTTGGCTTTCAGCTACATGAATTGCTTAGCTAAGTGTTTTTGATTGTTGTGTACTGGTGTGAAAGGTTACCGCTAACAATGTGATTATTATGCTATTTTACCACGTTAAAAACATTCTTAACGTTGTCTTCCTCATATTTAGCCTCCAGGGGTTTTAGACTGATCTTAATCTATTAAGATTCAAGGGCTGAATCTGAGTTGCCCACCATTGTCATCAGAGTGTAAAGTATAATGAAGACTTGTGACAAGGTTTCACTCACTTTTAAAACCTCTCTCAGCCATCGGGATGTACGGGACTTCTCGTTTGCACTCTGTGTCTCATTATACATTTCCTTTTCTCTCCTCAGACCTGAAGAAGTCATTTGAACAGGAACCCCTGGGAAAGGAGGTGTCGTTGGAGCAGGAGGTCCTGTTGCAGTGTCGCCCTCCGGAGGGCATTCCGGCTGCTGAGGTATGTGCAGCGCCATGCTCACCTCCACCTGAGCTGAATGCAAACCAAGATTAGTAGAGCAGAACAAGGAAGTGATTGAATGGAGCAGACGACAGAATAAAGACGAGAGGATTAACAAAGAAAAATCGAAATCATCAAGTGGAAATGTCTTTCATTTACCACAGAAGTGTCGGTTATTTAAGAGATGACTCTTTAAATTGTATGGAACTTTAAATAAGAGATGGCAGAGTGGAGTGGTTTGATTGGTGCTTGCATTTTTTTCTGTATAGTGCCTTTTTGGTATGTTGCTGAAATGTCCTTTCTCTTTTGCAAAAACTGATAAAACCAAATATTAGAAGGAAATAAATCACACTCAGGGTCATCCTCAATGTCCATTTGGTGAGTTGGGAACAATGGATAAACTGGATAAAGATTAGCGTAACATCATCACACATTTTTTCTATTTCAGAGGATGTCTTTACAATGTTTTCAGAAACATAAGGCATAGCCAGCATTATAGAACAGCCCATGTATTGTATTGTCATATGTGTTGAGCTGCCAGGAATTTGTTTTGACTGACAAGTACATGAAAGTCCTACTACTCTTATTCAGAGCTCCAAGGTTTAAATTTAGACTTAAATGTCCCCAGAGAGCCAATTTGAGCACAAATTACATGAAGAAATGCCAGCCTGGATTTGTGTTACTTTATACCTCTGTTTCTCCCTCCCTGGTGTACTTGAGTTTTGCAGGAAAATTGACTCCAAAAGGCCTGGAAAATAAACCACAACCCTTTCTCCGAACACTGATACAAATGTACAACTATTCATTATTTCTTCTTCTTGCCATCATTATTATAATTACTTGCTTGTTTCACTGTTACACATGCTTTGCAACTTGGTTTTTAACATACTACTGAAAACTGAGAGGAAGTACACACAATATTTGGGAACTGGGACAAACAAAACTTCTATATCCATGTATGCAATTTACGCCATTATCTTTTGACACCTAAGTTTTTAAGTATGGTGCTTGTATTGCAGAAGTTATGAGACTTTCCCTCATTGATTTAGAATGTCCATACGAAAAAACATTCCCTTTTCTCATGCAAAAGTTTATTGTTGCATTGATATTTCACTCACTCATCAAACATGTCACCATTTTGCACGGTGCATGCATGTCACTTCCATTTCCACAGGGCGATAACTGCCACGAACACATTTGGAATTCATACAGTTCCTGACTCTCCTGGTTTCCTGGATGGGCTCCCACCTGTGTGTATGAAAATACATAACTTCATTTAGTTGGTCACTGGGGAGGAGCGGCACGGCTCTTTAAGAAGGCTGCAGTGCCAGATAAAGAGTCACTGAATCTGGTTTCGTTCCTTAGGGTTTGATAGTCATGTTCAATTGCACCTAAGTACACAGCTCGCCTGAGAGAGCAGAGGAAAGAGTAACTGAAGGAGGTGAGGATGAGTTCTTAGGCTGATAATGAGCATACAAAGTAAGGGGAAGTGTAGGCGAAAAAGCAGAGATGAAGGTGAGACAGAAAGATACTGAGAAAAACAGACGAGCTTTCGCCTCTGCTGCAGACACCTCTTGATATATTTTCTTATTGACTTCAAGAAACAACACTTGTTGTATTTTGGGGTCAGTTTAATGGTGAGACATTTGCAAGCAAACATCAGTTCTTTGTCCTGGGATTATCTCTTTTCTGTTACACACCCTTGCTCTAGCTCTCAGTGTATGCTCCATCTCACAGCTGAGTCCCCAAACTGTTGAGTAACTCATTTTCTTTCCCCATCTACATATCTTAGTTCATTTAAACTTTGATATCTGTTTTAACACAGCCATTGTTCACGGAAAGGCAAACTCCCAAATCTACACATTTTTAGGTTTATTAATACACGCACATATAAATATACACAAACACTCATGGAAACTTAGAGGTATTTTCCATTGTGTTCAATTTGCCAGTCTTTTTTCCCCCCTGTCATAATGGGATCTCAATTAATTTGATTGGTCTGCCTCACCTGCTTGCTGAAGATGTTTGTAGGGATTTGGGTTTAGGATGTCCTTAGGGCGTTACCTTTTTTTATATCCTCTCCTCTAATTTTCCATCCTTGTGTCTATTATCTCAGCCATAAAGTTTTGTTGGCTGTTTACTCTTTCACTTTTCTCCCCTCGTTATTATTGAAATTGTCTTGTGACCACTCTCAAAATGTTTTAATGTGTTGCCACATTGACCAATTGACGAATGTTGTGAAGTTGTAAGTGTGATGGGGTGGTTGCCCTGATATGTGATCTCCACGTCTTAATGCCCAGCTGGCACATGGCTGTCAACATGCCACTCTACCCCTTTGACTCTCTAAACAAACACTTAAAATTTACAGTCATACTTAAAGCACAGACTGTACACTTGACAGAAAAGTACCATAGTTAGCTCTTGTGCTGCAGTCAATGCACATGCAGATATCTCTGTGCACAGACACTACGGCACATCAAGAGGTTCACCAAAAGTCAGATTAAATGTTGATCATTTGAACTGCTGCACTGTTGCTGCACTTGAGAGGTCAGGTTCAAACCAATTCCACCTTGCAGTGAAAATGTCTGCACACAGATACACCATTAGTTCCTTTTCATTCCCTTTTGACTGTACAGTTTTTGAGAACAAAAAGTCTCCTCTACACATTTTATTTTTTTGCTCAACCTTTCATTCTGAAGCTCTATTGAGACACAGTTTGAGGCATTGTGAAATCCTGGAGACACATCTAAATCTCTTCAGACTGTGATATAAAGCCTTTAAAAGCTGATGGAAAGCCATTTTTCAGCAAAGACGGTTTAACAGTTCAACAGGAAGGTCTTCACGGACACAGTCTGTGGATTCATGGACTTGAGGCAGGTGCAGCAAAATGTTTACTTTTAATGGGTAACGTTCCCACTTCAGTCCATAGAAATTCCAAATCAGTCCACAAAACTACGACTCTCCGCAGAGTTACAGCCGTTGTGTAAAATTTGCATTTGAGCAGCAGAAAGCCTCGCTGTGTGAATACCCAAACACATGCTGTGGGGGCCGTTTGGACACAGAGGGAGCAGAGTGACAGCGAGAATACATATATCTTCAAACTTAAAAGACTCTAAGTGACCCCAAAGGCCGAGCAGAGTCAGTAGACTGCACATGGCAGGTGGGGTTATGGATTTGTGTGTGTGAGCCTGTCTGCGTCTGTCGCCATGCGTGAGTGATTACCCCAGCTGCAGTGAAATAAACACATCAGTGTGTGGTGACAGGCCCTCCACGCGTCCACACACACACGCACACACACACACACAAAAAGTCAGACAGTAACTTGATATGTTTATGGAGCCTGCTCGGGTTCCCGTCACATTCTGAAATGATCAGTCCACATCCTAAGTTAGCACAAGTTATTCAAAGAAATAATGACTCAGGATCAGCCTCTGCATTGTGCGTCCGGGGGTAAAGTTTTTGTAAGCCAAGTCGTCTATTTCATCGTCACGCACGTCATGTTTGTCTGAAAGGATTCTCCCCCTAATCATAACATTTGGACTCATAACTGCTCAGCTTCAGAAGAAGGCAGAACTGCCTTTTCCTGAGTGTTCTGCAGATACACAGAGGGCCGATGCGGTCAAGGTTGTTGTTTTATAGCTCGTAGACAGAAAAAGTTTTCCTTCAAACATTACATGCACACACACACCTTCCGAGCAAGGAGGCCTGCGTGCTTGTGTGAATCCAGGAAGCTGAGATTCTTGCACACACACACACACACACACATATCTGGCTCCTAACCTTGCTCACAGTGACCCTTGTTTTTTTTTTTTTTCTCCAAATGACTGTCCATGTTAAACAGAGTGGAATAAGTCCAGACAAGTGCATTTGTGTAATTAACGCTCGGTGTGTACGTGTGCGTGTTTATGGGCGTGACTTTGTGATGAAAATCACGGAAGACTTTTAAGTCAGAAGGCATCAGCAGTGTGCTGTGGCCAGAATGCTAAGGGCTGCCTTTTTCTCACTGTACACAAACGCACAGTTGATTGTAGTCCGTACTGTTAACGTGTCATACAATGGCTTTTATGAGCAGAGCCTATCTGGGGGTTATAATTCTGGTGGCGATGGAGTGCTTTAAATGGACAGTGAAGGTGACAGTGTGAATTAAACTGTCTCACAAATAAGACATGCCGTCTTCCAGTTTCCAGAGATAAAAGCAGACCTATGGAATCCCTTCAGCTTTACATGCTTTTCTCATGCGTCAATGTTCCTGAGTGCCTTTTTTTAATCTGAAATGATGTTGAATAAACAATTTAAGTTCTAACACCATCTGAAATATATTTAGCCTGAACATTCTGCCACTTCTTTAGCTAAATTTTGTTCAAAGGATTTAAAGAGGAAACATCTTTCATCCAGAGATTAAATTTCCACAAAGCTTGAAATGGGATGGACTTCAGATTTTTAGTTCTGCATTTTTAAATTAACTGAACTGAACAAACCAGAGGGGGAAAACAAATGTCGACAGACAGCATTAATGATCAAAGGAAATATTCAAATATTTTTTAAGCTCTGCAAAATATTTGACCCCTGCCTCAGAGAAATTAAACTATCAATTTGGGTGTTCCTCCAGAAAGCATGTGTGTGTGAGCATGCGTGTGTCATGTGTGTATGCATTTACTTGTGTGCCTGTGCGCATGATTTTGTGCACAAAAAACAATTTATGTAGTGCTGATTCCTCAATAGATCCTTACCTTAATCCTCTTTGAGCCAGCATAGTAAGCCCCACGGCTCATCTCCCATCACATTTTACCTTGATCCTCAACCTCTGTCAGAAATCATCATCATAATCCACAGATTAGTCAGCAATCTATCCTTTTGTTCTGGTTACCAAGGTGAATTATTGAAATGGTGTTAAGATTATTAAAATACCATCCCGATCTGTCATTGCAGACTTATTTACAAATGAGACACGTGAGCAGGAGCAGCTTTTGTCTCTGTTTAGTTGGAAATAGATTGAGCTT